TGATTACAACTAGGTAAATCATTGCTTATCTAGATTTATGACTTTATTCCAGTTAAATAATTAAAGAAATACGATTTTCCATGCTAAAATATTGTTTTATTTGTCTTTCTGTCTCACAAATTATTTTCGCATTTGTCGCGCTTTTCCAACTCCAACGACACACTTTAGCATATCTCCAGATTTTCATATGTCTTGACAGTACTCATTCCCTTTTTGTCATCCCCAAAAGCCCGAATCCTTGGCTTCCTTTCACAGAATCTGGATCTTTCCTTTTCGACTCGGCTAACATAAATCATTATTGTCGCTGCGTTTATTTTTGACTTTGACAGGACTACCACTTATGTGTTTATGTTAGCGTTGAGAAGGAGAAACTGAGGAGAAAAATGGGAATGAGATTAAGAAGGGAGAATGAAAGCCATTGGGAAATGTCTGCCTATTTTTTCATTCATCGCAGTCCCAATGTTTAATTTTTATCAAAATCTTGATGGATAAATTATATTAAATATTTGGTTTTACTTTACTGTAAATTTTATGCTTTTCCCTTACGATTATTGGAACAGAACAGTGGTTCTTACCAACTCGTCGCACAGAAATTTAACTAATGAACGGAAATAACTAACTGAAAAATTCTAGTAGATTTCCCTATTATTCTCATAGTCCATTTAACTCGGCATTACCTCTGTGGCCTTCTCCACTAATTTCTACAATCTCGGCTTGGGATGGTTTAATTAATACATTTTATAAATCACAAGCAGGGCCCCCATCTTCAGGACCGATAAGGGAGCGAACTTACTTTGCAGCCCCAACCCCTTGAGGACACATACAAATTTGCATGCCGGACATCGCCGGACATTTGCTAAATGACCACAACACTTAGGCCAAGATTTATTTCCTCTGGCCAGCTTGGGTTTCATTGTAGCCAAGTTGGTGTTTACTTTTGAGTGAACTCACACAAAAATAGAGATATAATTGAAAGGGGTCTCCGCTCGAATTTTACACACTTCATTTAGCCGTGGGCTATTGCCTCATCCCAGAAACGACCTTCCGGACTGCGAATTGTGGGCGTTGATTAGTTTGCTTAGCTAAAAAATTAAGCCAGCGCCAAGCACTGTGGAGCATAAAGTGTCTCCTGAAAAAAGTTATGAAGGGAAAGAGTTATTTGCAATAAATTTAAGTGCTGGGTGGACCGGCTGCAAAAAGCGAGCACTGGAAGTTACAGTTTCTAATTTATGACAAATGCACATGCCCGTCTTGAAGTTTTTGGCCTGACCAGGAACTCAGACTGAAATCGAGACTGGACCAAGCCCCACCCACCTCTATTTGTGTATCGTTACTCGGGGCAAACTTATTGGGCGATGGGTTTTGCGGTTTCGAAATGCGGCGACTCGATTTCCAATTTACTAAATTTGCATGCTCAAGTGTTGCGTAAAGCGTTGGTTATAGTTTTTGAAATTTGCGAGCATTTGTTATGATAAATTGCACAGCAGGCGGTGCCACAGAAATGGGCAGGGGCTGCGTTGAAAGTTGAAAATTCAATTTGAGGCATTAGAACAGAGCTACTGGAGATCTGGAATTGTGGGTATATAAGCTAAACATTGAAATACAAGGTATTAAAACAATACTTAATAGGACCACAAATACATGTTAATTTAAATTTTACTTTTGATTTTTAAAAATGGATTTTTTTTTAAATGCTATATATATTTTTACTGAGAGTGGCTACTCCCTTTCCAAATTTGTCAAAAAGTTATTTCGCTTGGGAAAACTTGCGTCCTTAGAAACTGGGAAATTCTAATCAACAATTGCAATCTAAGTCACGCCTCCTGACAAAGTTGTGCACTCTCATCAGTGCCAAAAACTATTTTCAATTACAAAACAAGCTCCTGCAGAAGTTACGTGGGGCAGAAGGAGCTGGCATCCACAATTTAATCACAGCGTGTGGTCGGAATATCAAATTTTCGTATCGAAATCGAATAACTCACCAGCCGAAATGGTAGGAGTCAGCAATTATCTAAAAAGCGAGCAGCAGCGACATCCTGCGAAAAGGATAATAGTGCTGAGGCAAACAATTTGCACGGACCAATTTGGAATGTGTCCCGCTGCTGGCATATTTACACAGAAACATTTCCAAACATGGCAGAAAGAAGAACAGCCCATAAATCACTCCACTGGGCACAAAGGCCGAGTACCAAAAGGATGTGAATTATATACAAATGATTTGACATGGCCAGGACATCGGGGGTTGCATAGCCAAAACATATTTCAGTAGCTGCGGAGACGATGCCAAAGTTCAAGATAAGCGGAGTTGGCAGATCAAGAAATCTTAGAATGCCTTTTTATTTTACAAATGGCAAGCGAATTAAATTATACGTTCAAATCTTACAATTTCTTTAAACAATCTGAAAGAAAAGTTACCAATCAGTACTTGAGAAAAGTATTACTCTTTTACTTGTATATTTTCACATCGGGAAACATTTCTTAAATCAAATTGTTTGAAATATCATTAATATTGCCAAATAATTCAACGTTTCAAGTTCAAGGTATACTTTTCCATAAACTCGTAATTTACATATTCAAAGAGAATAAATTACCATTAACATTTTGGCAAACGTTCAATAAGTTACTGTAAATGGCCTGGAACTTAAAAAAGGAAAATCAAGGGAAGTCGCCTATCTCAACATATAATAAGGACATTTAAATTCAATTTTCCTTCCTTTAGTTTTTTCAACAGCTCTTCAACTTATTCACCCATATTCGATGCGAATCAGTTTTAATTACCATTAACATTCTGGGCTGGCCAGCATCTGAATTTCCAATCCGGCCTCGAACAAGCTTTCTTTGTGCGCATTTTAATTGCCTCGCAGACCCCTGGTCCCCTGACATCGGCTATTAATGAAATGCTTTTTAAATTATGTCATTAACATTGCAGCCTGTGCCGTCTAGGACTGGTTTATCTTGGCCAGGGCCTGGGTTCTGGATAATTATGGCATATTTTTATTGGCTCGCCATCGAATCGGAATTAGATGCTTGTAAATAGCTTACAACAATTATTTCATTAGGTTTCGAGCCTGCCGAGGTAGTTTTTCATGCGCATCGGACAGCGATTTTCCAAGTACAGCCCCAGATCTCGGGCTTCGGGATGATAAACTGCCGGCGAGGAAAGGGGCTCGGTCACATTGGCCCTATTATAAATGACTGGATGTGAACCGCCTGTCATGTTTTATCTTTATTCCCGTGCATTTTCGGCGGCCAGGCGGCGTGTCTGCACATTTTCCGATTCATATTTTTTCGCCAGCCAGCACGATGACGATAATGGCGCTTGCAGGCCCACTGACGTTTCTAACAAAGTGACTCGCATTAAGGATAATAGAGGCAACTAAAAGCAAGCCACCACAACATGAAACAAAGCAGGCCAGAGCGGATCAGATGCGGAGGATGAGCCGGCGATGACTGCCAGCGATTTGCGCATCATTATCCCGGGAAGGAAGGGAGGACTTTCGACAGAGGTCCCTTGCCCCAAGATGTCCATCAACGGCCAGAAAGAAAAGCTGCACTGCCTCCTGGCCGCATATCCTGGCACTTCCTGCCTCTGACGTTTCCGTCGTCATCCTGCACGGAGAGAAATAGGTGTGTGTTTGATATTAAATTAAAGAACATTTTTTAAGCTCTTGTTAAAGGAAGTACAATAAAAAATATATATTTTTAGTTTCTTTATTTTTTTATTTCTTAAAAATATATTCTTAAAGCATCTCTCATCATTATCATTAATTTTTAAAGTAACTTTAAAATATTTTCAGGTACTTTTTCTTCCAGTGTCACGTTCAAGGAATGATTTATCGTCGCCCAGAGGACTCAAGTGTCGCACCCCCGAAAGCCAGAGAATGTCCTGCAATTGACAATTGTCCATTGTGTTTAAGGAGAAGATCTCGCCTCCCTTGTCCCTTTCCTTAGCTCCACTAGCCAAACCTGAGCGAGCCCAGAAACTAAGCAAATATTTATTAAGCGAATTAAAGTCGCGTCTCACAAATTGCCTGCAAATCCCCCGAATACAAATGACTGGATATTTCTCATGGCGAAACATTTGATGCAGGTCATTTCGACACCGAAACGGTTGCCCCATGACTGTGCAGCTTCCACCAACGAATTATGCGCTCTAGCGCCCCATGTTCTCCAGCCAAATCTTTTGTCATCATTAGTCAAAGCTTTAAGCCGATTTAATCAATAGCATTGGCCAGGCGGAATAGGGAAGCCATCCTGTTTCGAGTGTTAACACAAACCAAATTGCGTGTTTTGGCCGAAAAATTAAGAAAATTAAATGGAGCCTCACGTGCCATATGCCGGATTTAACCACATTGTTGCCAGCTGGTCCTGTCCTGTCGCCCGAAATTTTGGTTGAAATACTTCAGAAATGGGATTCAAAAAAGCGGCCGAGAGACTGGCACTCATTAAACAATTACCGTTTGCTCTTTTTTACGGATTCCATTTTATTTTGGGTTTTTGTTTGCCATGTTTTGGTCCTAAATCACACCACTTTAAGACGGGATAATAAGAACACTTTTAGATCGACCATTATGTTTTTCTTTTCTTATGGCAGGCGCACAAAGAAGCAAAATTAAACAGAGTGAAAGTTGCAACAAAAATAAATTCATAAGCTAAGGTTTTCAAAATTAAATAATGTAGACTCATTGAACTCAAAAATAATGGCATATATACATAAATATGAATAAAAGTAAAATGATTGAATAAAATGTGTGTAACTTTTGTTTATGATTTTTTTGATCTCTTTGCGCAATAACCTTGACTTTGCTTACGGAAAGCTCTCTTGTAAAAATTCTCAATGTTTTACAATACACATATACTTTGAGATATAAGACGCCAAGCGTGTTAATGAGCGTTTCATGTACCGCAAAAATATAAATTAAAGCGAGCTATAAACATGTGCCATACTACAAATTTCGTTAACTTTCCCAAAGCAACTGTGTAAATATTTGCTAAGTCGAAACAACATTCTTTGCCAGCGATCAAGTGAGTCAAGCGAGACAAGACTGCGATCAGTTAACGTCTGAACGCCGATTTAACCAAATATATCTTCCGATTCCAGTTTTCCGTTCTATAACCATGGCTAATCGCAATCTGGTTAAAGTTTTACTTCTGGTGGGATTACTCGGAATGAGTTTGATGCCATTTAGCCAAGCACATCCGAAACGTGGTCGCAAACGGTCCTTCGGTAAGTGTTTAAATAAAAAGAACACCTTGAAAATAGAATAAGTACATTTTAGTCTAAAATAATATATTTTAAACCCTAACACAGAAATATTTTAAGCTTTATTATATTTTCTCCGCGATTCTCTTTAGGAGTAGGTCTTTTGGGTGGAGCAGGATTGGGTTTTTTGGGTGGCGCAGTTATAGGCAACGCAATGGCCAAGTCCCATCAAACTCCAGCTGCCACACCTGCTCCTCCGGTGGCGGTGGTGCATCACCACTATCCGGCAGGAGCTCCTGTTCCCGTTGCGATGGCCGCACCTGCCCATCCAGATCCCAAGAAGACGACCGTCATCGAAACAGGCACCCCCGATGCCAATGGATGCTACACGCAAACCATCCGGGAGCCCAATCCCAACAATCCAAAATCCTACACGGAAACGCAGCATCTGATTTGTCCCACGTTGCAGCAGGCCAACCAGCCAGCTCCTGCGATTGCTCCTGCTGCAAGTGCTGGCCATGTTCCTGTGATGCCCCAGCCCTCGCCGGTGTTCCCTGCCCCTGTGGCAGGACATCCAGCTCCAGTTGCTGCTCCTGCTGCAGTGCCTCATGCTGCTGCCCCCGTTGTTCCTGCGGCAGTCGCTCCTGCTGCTCCCGTTGTGGTTCATCCTGCTGCTCCTGTTGTAGTTCATCCTGCTGCTCCCGTTGTCGTCCATCCTGCTGCAGTTCCCGCGGCAGTTCCAGCTCCGACCCCGATTGCCCCCGCAGTTCAGGCCCATCCAGGACAGCCGCAGGTCATCCTGCTGTCAAAGAAAACCGTGTACTATCCCAAAAAACGGTCATCCGCACCCACACTCAACATTCCGCAGGGAGTGCTGGCCATGCTAGTGATCTTCTACAGCATAAAGGCTTTTCTAATTTAAATCGAGAATTTCATTCATATAATTAAGTCACTTTAAATCTAAATGATTAATCCTTCAATTGTCCGTCTTGCTTAGTGTCTTTAAATAAAACTTAATACATGTTAAGTGAGACCCTAACACTTTAAGAAGATACATTTTTAGGAATTGTAAAGTAAAGTAAATGTAAAGTAATAACTTAATATTTGTATTATTTTTAAACATTTAAATTAAAGTTTTTAATCCTCAATTTTAAAACAGTCGATACTATACAAACTACAATCGATATCAATAAGCTTTTCTGTACATCGATAATATCGTACTCCTGGCACCCTCTACCGTTTGATTGTAGAACCTATGAGCTTTTCGTGGTATTTACATGAATTCTACACGTATCTTACATACTTGGTATTGCTTCTTTTCTGTGGCGCCATCTAGCATTTAGTTCACTTTACTATTTCAATATTTCTCTACCTATCTGGCAGCATCGTAAACTGACCAAAATTCAGTTGGCGATTTTGAATTATTACTTTGCCAAAAAATATGGCCAGGAAGCCTTTATACAGCTAAAAACACTAGTTTACCAAATAAAATCGAGCAAAAAATGTGACATTTGTTTGCCGATAAAGTTGAGCTCCCTGATTTTTGTATAGTGTTAACTTTGTGAAGTGTAAAAAGCCGGGACCGAAAATAACAGTTATTTTATTATTTTTGTATCGAAAAAATCATACGCTTGGAATAACACTAAAAATTTGAGAAATAAATCATAAAGCCAATTTAATTTTACTAAAAAGCGTTTTTGGCCCTATTTTATTTCATATGTTGTGTGTATAAAATAAAAGAGGGCCAAAAGTTCCAGTCATTATCTTGGAAAAAAAAAGTCTTGAAGTCTTACATTTTATTTATATTTTCCAAAAATAAAATAAGAGTTATATCACTATGGACGGCAGTCCATGTAGTGACGAAGCGCACCAGGAGAGTGTGCGAAGGCGACTACTATATATCAAACAAAAACACCGCACCTGCAACATACAAAAGTTTTAAAAACAACATTTTGGGAAAAAAAATTTTTACACCCCATTTAAAAAATTTTTTTTTATTTTTTCCCTTCCCCCCCCCCCCCAAAAAATTTTCCCCCCTTTTCCCTTTTCCCATTTTTTTTTTACGCAGGGGAAAAAAAAAAAAAAAAAAAATATTATTTTTAATAAAAAATTATTTTTTTTTTTTTTTTTTTATTTATATTTTAAATTTTTAATTTTTTATTTTTTTAAATTTTTTTTTATTTTTTTTTTATTTTTTTTTTTTTTTTTTTTTTTTTTTTTTTTTTTTTTTTTTTGCTTTTTTATTAATTTTTTTTTAAATTAAAATTAAAATTATTTTATAATAATTTTTTATTTTTTTTTATTTTATTTAAATTTTTGGTATAATTATTTAAAAAAAAAAAAAATTAAAAATTTTTTTAAAATTTTTTTAAATTTTAAAATTTAATAATATAAATATTTTTTTTTTTTTTTTTTTTTTTTTTAATAATTTTTTTATTTTTTTTTTTTTTTTTAAATAATAATTTAAAATAAAAAATAACAAAAAAAAAAAAAAAAAAATAAAAAAAAAAAAAAAAAAAAAAAAAATAAAAAAAAATAAAAAAAAAAAAAAAAAAAAAAAAAAAAAAATTTTTAATTTTTTTTTATTTTATTTTTATTTAAAAAAAAAAAAAAAAATAAAAAGATTAATAATTATTTATTAATTTTAAAAAAAAAAAAAAAAAAATATTTATAATAATAAAAATTATTTTTTAAATATTAATAAAAAAAAAAAAAAAAAAAAAATAAAAATAAAATTTTTAATATCATCTATTATTTTAAGTCAATAAGTCTCCATCATAAAAAAAAAATTGTAATATGTTTTCTACACCGCGAATAAACTCCAGTGACGGTCCTTTGTGCCACTCTACTCCGCGAACCGAGAAACTCGAGTCTCATTTCGAGTCCAGACCCGTTATCAACCTCCCCGTGAGCGTTTACGGATGGTATCGCGTACTAATATTTAGCAACGACCGTCGGGAGTCCATCAACCGAGTGTTGCGGCGTCTTCGCAGGATTTTAAGCCCATTAAAACTAGATCCTCGCTATAAACACTCTGGTGGTGAATACGATGTGCCTGGGGACGCTGGCGCCCAGTTTACTTTCTACGTTGACAGTTACAACGTAGCGAATGCTTTATTTCGCCGCAAAAGGCTGGATGATCGCACGTGGCTGAAAGTCAGTGACCGGATGCCCTGTGTCCGGATTACTTCGGCCTTCAGGTGGCGATTGAAAAGGGTGCTCCTTGAAAGGTATAACCCTGATCAGCGCAGCCTGGATCTCACGCTGTTTCACATGGACGAAGCCTGGCGCGGGGAATTCTGCGCCCTTGCTGAATCTTGCTGTATGAGCACGGTTATCGGTATAATGGAGCGATGTATTCCACAGTTGAAGCGCCTGATATTGGACCGGAATCACTTGACCCACCTGTGGATCTTCACTCATTTCGAGAGGCGTTTTCCGTCGCTCCAATGTGTCTCTTTAAAAAACAACGACATCGACAGCATTGGTTTATTGCGGGTTTTCCAATTTCTCCCCCTGGTCGAACTAAACCTCGAGAGGAATCTACTGCCGCCTGGATACGAACGAAATGTCCTTGATATTTGGCCAAGTCTGCAGGTGCTCAATGATATTCCTGTGAGACGCTACCATTAATCTAGTTTTTATGAACGTGCAAAACAATGGACTCCTTTTCAGCGGATTAAGATTTCTTCAGTTGACTTATCTATTTATTTGTAGTTTGTTATTTTTGTTCTTGTTAATTGTTGTGTTATGGCTTATAAATTTTAAAAATGTATAAATTATTTTTGTATATCTTGAATTTGCATTTACGAATAAACTTAAAATTGTATATTATTATTTTTACCCTTACAGAACTATAATAACAACATTTGTTGGGGGTTTTGACAAAGAGCTTTGAAGGCAACGGATAAAGTTCAAAATATTAAGTATACCCGTTCGGGGTCTTGCCACTTTCACACACTTGAGCGTCTGTTTCTTAGGTCACTTCAATTACGTAATTTGCCTGTTAACCCAAATGTAATGTCCTTACTCAAAACCAAGAAAAGTTTCCTTTTTCGGCGACTTTTTGGCATAGAACTTTTTACTTTTTACTTTTCACTTTGTGTTTTGTCCATGGCCGAAGCGAAAAGCTCAAAAGGTGAACCGTTTGCCACTACCGCTGCTACTGCAGTTGTTGTCGTTATTTTGTTTCCCGAGTGCAAAATGAGTTACAAATTATTAAAAGAGACGTGGACACAACGCCTACGCACTGGCAACAGTTTTCTACGCCGACCGCAGGCACAGAGTACACTGAGAAAAATAGACCAAAGATAACTACTTTTAATTTATTTGTAAATTATTGTTCCCTCAATAACATAATCAGTAAGGACTGGTACTCAACCTAACAAAAAATTCGTCCAAAATAAAAAAACTTTATTTGAAACAAAATTTATTGACGTTATTTTGATATGAAAAGCTAATCTTTTGAATTTTTTGAAGTTTTTGCTTGGACGACTTTTTGTTAGGTTGAATACTAGTCCTAAGGGTGGAAAAAATATTTTAAGGGAAGCGAAATGAAAATGTTGTATTTGGAATAAGTACCCATTACTCACCTAAAATAAGAAGGGGTTTAAAATTGTTGTTTCAGTGTAAATTAAAATGCATTTTATTTTATGGCCGAAAATCGTATAAGCAGCTTTATTAATGTACAAGTTATGAGTAATTGAGTTAAAAACACCTTGCATGGACTCCTTGCATGCCACCCAGCTAGTTATTAGAAAGGCTCAGGAATTTTATTTTGAAATGAATCGCAACAGGTATCTGATAGTCAAGCACCTTATTCTTAAAATAATACCACCAAATAGATATATGACTGAAATCATAAAGCTGGGACCTGATACTGTAAATCACATCGTTCAAAACTCTTCAAACCAAACTAGAATTCGAGTTAGTACACTGTTTATTTTTTAGAAGCTTAGAAGTTTAAAAATTGAAAATGGAAATAGTCCTGCGATAATTGTTAACTTTTTTTTGTTGTGTAAAATTAAGAGCAAGAATGAGAATGGGAAAAGTAATGGAAACAAGAAGTGGTTGCTGCGGTGCGGTGTTGGCCCAAACGGAAGTTGGCGCTGATGGCCGGGCTTTGGCTTTGGCCAACTTCAAGATGCTGCTCCCAGGGCATGGGCCACTCGCTTTTCACTTTCTTGGCACTTTATTTTAATTTCTGAGGCGTTCCAAAGTTTCCTCTCCATTTTTTCAAACACTTCCATGCTGCCGTAGTTAGTTGCGGCTAAGTAGAAATTACTTCAACTTGCGGCTTGGACCCTCACTTTTTTCAGGTCAACCAGGGAGGCAACTACCGCAGGGTCCATGGTTAAATGCTACGGGGTCGCCTTCTTTCAAGGGGTACAGTGCATATCTATAATTATTAGCTATGATAGTTTTTTGCAATCTACGGTTAATGAGTTTAATTTATTTTAAAATTTCAATCCAAACATATGCTTTTTATGCCAACGACCTTCAGAAACAGAAAGCTTAAGGTTTTCTTGTAGTCTTTAGAGAGTAGCTGACTTCAAATAGTTTGCTTCTGAAATTTTGAGGCCTGCAAAATGCTTCTCCATTTTCTCCGTATTGGCATTAAGACAATTCTGTTCCATGATCATCTGTTCTTTAATCAGTCTTGTCGCCTCTTCGAATTCCTTGGTACCTTGGAGGTCCGCGTTCAGTTCTTGAAATTTCTGAATTGTGGACTTCATATTTTTGAGCTTTCGTCTAGTTTCATTTACTAGATTCTATAATTTGATTATTCTTATTAGTATTAACGTTATAGACAAGTGTTTCGATTGTAAGATATCCGTTACTCAGCAAAAGTGAGTGCGATCTGCAAAGCAGAAAACGACATCTAGCGGCAGAAGTGTGTATTGCATTCGTTTACGATGATTTTATATGGCTCGAGCTCTTAAACCGGGAACTTTCAATTTAAATTCAAAAAAAGCCATGGCTCATTTCCAAGTTTTTTCAAGTAAATTATTAAGAAGTTGAAAAATTTTTCCATCTAATGAACACAACTGTACCTTCTTCTTTTTGTGTGACACCTCTGCATTAAGTAGGCTTTCCAACAGGCGCCTGTCCTCAAACTTGATCTGCTGCATGTGGAACTTATAGCTTTGCTGCAAGAAGCTAAATGTATTTATGAACTTCTTAAGATCTCGTTTACGTGGGTTTTCCATAATAATTTAAAAATTAAAATTATATTGTCTTTACGTGACTGTGTTGTTTGTTATAAGTTTTTGACTATATTACTGAATTTCAAATGCTATAGCATTATAGCATTATTCGTACTTAATTTTTCTGGGTGTAAGGCTGATCAAACTAAACTTATAGTTCCCTGAAATCGAGATATAAAACATTGCCACATTCAGAAAACTGCAACGGAAATAACTTTGTAGTAACTTCATCAGATTTTTTATTTAATATAAATAAATAAAAACTAAAACTTTAATAAGTCTGAATTGATGGACACGTTTTGTACAGTTTTTATAATACAATTTTTAGGAAAAGTTTATATGAAAAGTATTAACAGCTAGAAGGAAGCGTTTCCCCCCAAAAATATATTTTTTTTTAGGGACAGTAACCAAACCAAACTACAACTTTTTTTTTTTTTCAGACTACAGCTGGGTGACCCACACATTCTGGCTTTTGCCGCCCTCTACGCCCACAACGCCCACATTTTAATCTTTAGATTCCAATAGTTATTATACTATCATGTAGAATTTTCAACGGACCATTAAGTATACGCTTTTAAATTGTCAACATATATTTATCTCCCTCCCCCTCCTTTTGTGAGTGAATAAATAAAAAAAACCCCCCTATATTTTATAATACAATTTTTAGGAAGTTTATAAGTTTAACCATGACAAGGACTTTCCAAATTTTCCAGGAGTCAACAAAAAAATTAAATCCTTTCAATTTGAAGAAGGGCTTTAAAGGTTTTCTATTTTCTACCAATTTCGTCATGTTACTGCTATTGATTTTTAGCTTTTTTTTTTGCTCTCGTTGAGAGCCACATAAAAACGATTAAATCAGGAAATGACAGAATGCAGAGTGTGGAGTGCATAAATACAATTTATGTATGCAAGTTTTGTGTTTTCCCTTTTCCGTTCCTTTTACTTTTTCCCGATCAGCCGTTCTGGCTTTTTGGGGACGACAACTGGGGGCGTGGCATGAGCCATAAAGCTAACAAATTGCTGACACAACATATGAATGACAATATATCAGTTGTGGAACCAGCCATCTGAGTGGCTGTTTCTGAATAACGTGTGATTTAAGAACGGCACTAAACTGTGGGTGTAAAACGCCCAAACCCTTCTATGGACACTCACCTCTGGCGCTAATTGTTTGCTTACTTTGGAGCACTTGACCATTCCTATAGCATATATTATATCTTCACTTTGGAGGGCACGTACAATTGAGATACACGAAAAAATAACCACAAAGCAGGCAAACTTAAAGTTTAAATAAACACAAACAACAGAATAAATACATATGTATACGTGAGCGAATTGGGTCAAGCGGAAAAATTCATTTCCGTTTTAGCCAATCCGAAAAGGGTGCCCAAAAGAGATGGGAAAAATTATGCAACATTTTTATTGAATTTTTCGCCAAGGCCACCATCACCGCTGCCCAGAAGATGTATGTATTCCTTATTGCCAGGAATATTTTTCGCAGGATCAGGGATAGCATCATGGCTAAAACAGCGGGAACTTCCCAGCACGATGTTCAATTAATCAAATTGACACTTCTTCCGTCGACAGATCATGGCCATCTTAATATTTCAGGGTATAGAGTGGTATTTGGCAGTTGACATCCGTTCCTCGTGTTTGCAACATTTCCAATGAATGAGAAATCGCTGGGAGGTGCCTGGACGTATTTACATTCGGCCTAATAGGGGAAAACCAACCCATAAAGCTTGCAAAACCACTGTTGTTTCGATTTGCCACTTTGGCCGGCGGACGACTGACAGACAAATATTGTTCAATATGCGGCGTTTGACTTTGTGGCCCCTGGAAACAAAAAAACAGGAAGTGCGAGTGACTTTGTGGTTGTGAAATTGGGTTGGGTGGCTCAAACGTGTGCGTGTGTTTTGGTAGGGTTTAAGTCTCGCTGCATTTGACAGGTTTGTTCCCGTTTGCTGGCAGGGGACTAGCATATCCAACTATCACCTTCGGCCCTTTTTTCGGTATCTAAGAATCAGACATCCAGTTTAATATCAACTCTATAACAAAAGGATCTATTTAAAGTATAAAGCTTTTAGCCGAAAAGTTTGATGTTGAAAGGGAATGTAAAGTAAACCATTTTTTCAACTGGTCGAGTATAAAAGTTGAATTAGGGAAAGCTGTGTGAAAAATATAACATTAAAGTCCTAAAGTAAAAAAAGAGAATAATAAAAAATGTGATTGTACATATTAATAATAAATTGTAAAATGATCATAAGAAAATAACTCGCCATTAGCTTGTCTTTACTTTACTCTCTAAAGAACAACAAAAATAAACAATGTCAATGAAATGAAAGGTTACAAGAACAAACGGAGCAAAATTCAGTTTAACGTAAAAATCGTAATCATAAGCCAGAAAATCTGTGGCAAACAATATTGATGGCATCTGACTGACCAGCTGACCAAATAATAATCAAGAACGATTACAGCAATTTGTCAAGAGTGCTCTTAAATGGCGTAAAAGTCAGCCAACAAGAAAGTTTAAAGAAACTAAACTTACTAAAAACTTTTGTAATTGATTGCAGGAAACTTGTGTTGTGCTCATTGCGTTTCTACAGAAAGTAAACCAAATCGTGTTTAATATGGGATATAAACAGCTATTAAAACACCACATGTTAAAAACAAGAAAATACAGGAACTCTGTAAATTGATTGGTAATTTATTTATCAGATTTTTCTATGACAGCTTTTTTTCAATGGGAAGTGGAGGCTTACGAATCAATTTATTCAGCTTTAAGCTGCTTCTGTTTCTTCAAAAAAAGTAAAAATCGACTTCTTTTTACACAATTTCAGCATAAAAGGTTCGGATGGGAAATGCAAACACTGTCATAATCAGCCTACAGACACCTACACGTATACGTAATACACAAGTCCATGTGAGCTTATAACAGGGATTGCCGAGAAAATTGTTGCCTACTTTGTAGAGAGGAAGAAAAGAAAATAAATTAAATCAAGCGTTTAAAATAGGCATGGTGCCAGTGGGGGATAAATGGGATTGTGAATAAATCAAAATGTGTAACGCAATAAAATTGTGGTAAGGTTTCACCCGCTTTGAAGATCGAAAACACTTCAAACCGAAGCTCTAATTAATTGATTTAAATTGAATTTTTTGAAAAACACCTTTGTGAGTATGACCAAAAGAATACATTTGTGTTATTCTGTTGCAGATGATTCTCGCCCGTCTGTCTGCCTAGAAACACCAAATGAGTGCCCTAAGCTTACACCTATGCATGTACGGCCAGGAAAACCTTGGAAAAAAGGCAGTAAAGCGTTAAACCGTTAGCAGCTAGATTGAGCCGAGCAGCTGCTGGCGACACCCTGCAACAGTTGCCTCAAGGAAAAACCACACTGCTAATACCATCATCCGCCTCTACGCAGGAAGAAAATTTGCTGACTTTTTTAAGGAAAAGAATTTAAATTTTTCAAAATTGTATAACTTGTTCAGGTTTTTTCATAAGCTTAATTTCGCATCTAAATTTTATGAAGACCGATTAATATATAATGTATAGGTCTCTTAGCTAAAAGAGTGGTTAAACTAATGTAAATCCCATTTTTGATGTTTTTATTTGTAGATCAATAATTATATAATTATATTCTAAGGTAGAAGAAAAAACATCCACTTATATTTCGGAATTCTTACAGAATATGGTATGTTATTTCCCTCAGTCCATTGTACGCGTCACCGCTTTGCATACATATGCATTGTGGTTAAGCAATTTGCAGCAAACGAAATGAAAGTGCTAAGCGCATTGGCCGTCAGTTTGTGCCTTACCTTTCCCTTTGCGAGAGTGTGTGAGTGCGGCAGGTGCGATATGGCAAAGCTGTCACATAGTGAGACTGAAAACCGTGCACAATGTATTTTTTCTGCAACTTCAGCTCTGCGGCTTGCGCTAAATTTCATAATTTTTGCGAGCGTCTGGTGCTGCCGGTGCTTGTCTGGGCTCTCCCAGTCACGTGTCATTCGTATCGCGCCATAAACAAACCCAACTTGCGTTTCCCGCCACATCCACATTCCGCCCACTCCGTTGGCATGGAGCATCGTTTGTTATCCCGACAGACCCGCTCCCGTCGCCTCAATTCGATTTATTTTTATGGGGCTTTCCTTGTGCACTTCTGCATTGGGGATACTTTTTGCGGAGCTCGGCTCAACCCTCGCACTTGTTAACTGAAAATACTTTCTCATGCGTAAAATGCATGACAAGCGAAGCAGACACAGACGTTGACGCATTGAAATGAGGGTGGAGGATAGGTCCCGCAAAGGTTATCAACTTTAGGCATTACATCTGGGCACAGAGAAGTTCAAATATATATTATTTGTGCACTTCTACTTTTGTCTTTAAGATGGTTACTCTGAATCATAAACTGGAAACCACAATTTCAAAAGATGATTAATTCTAATTAAAAATTTGTAGGTTTGGTATCTTGGCGAAGATCAAGGTAAAAAATATATTTAATTTCTTGGTTTGCTTGAAATCTTATTTTCTAAACTAAGAGATACCCAGAAACAATTCTTCACACTTGAGTTAATTGGGGATAACAGCAAAAAAGAAATCATTCAATTAAATATGCAGTGGAAATACAGAACGAAAATGGAAAACAAAGACCGATTGCCGGGCAATATCAATTGGGTAAATATTCAGCGGAAAAACTGCAAACACAATTGAAACTTTACCGCAGCTGAAATATTTAAATGGCCGCGGAAAGGCGAAAAAATATGCATAAAATAAACAAGATAAAGTTGCATCCGCCAGTTATGAACAATAATTAAAAGGATCCCTTGGTCGGCGGTCATAACATTTCGGCTGAGTCGGTCCTCTTTGGGGTAATCACTCCCCTTGGCAGGGTAATTACGGTTGGAATTCATTAACCCATCATCCCGGTGGTCGCTGATAAGGCCGTTCAAAAGTCATATTTTCTTCCGACTTCGTTTTTATTCAGTGGAAATAAAATGTTCCGTGATGTATAAAAACGTATGCATTGCCTTAAACTAAGAGATTGAACGGAATGTACTTGTTTGGAAAACAGTAGTGCATAAAACTACCTCGACTAGAAGGAGAGTCCAATCAAATCAAGGAGATACCTGGGATTGAAAAGTCAATCGTTATTTAAATTTACGATCATATATATTTTTAAAATATACATAAGATAAGTGGTTGAGTAAACTATGTACTATCGGTTTATTTTCCCCATGTCAGCTTATGAATTTCTGTTACTATTTATAAAAATTATAATATAAATACAAATAAATTACTCAAATATTTCAATGCTTTGCAAAATTATTTTTCATAAATAAGAATACAAGTGTTCTTAATTTGCAGATCTTGATATGCCCTGACTAGGTAATGCCTTGTGAAAAAATCAGCAAGTACCAAATAGGACACCACTCATCGAGTCTGTAAGTAGCCACTGGAGAGCCTGGTAAAAGAAATTTGAAATTTTCAAATGCTGGGCGAGCAAAAGGAAATGGAAAAGGCGTTGAATATGCAGCAGGATCTGCCCTAGCTGGGCTCAGAAATGGCCCAGAAGCTGGCCCAGAGCTGAGAGGCTGGGCTAACAAATGTTCGGCTGGACAATGTCCTGGGCGGGCCAAGAGTTTATCGCTGGACAAGTTTTATGTTAACACTGGCCACAACAAGACCAATGGCAGTTGCAATGGCAACGGCAACTGCGAAAAGGCAGCAGCTGCTTGGCTCCTTTTTTCGGACACTTTTTGTCTGCTTAGCTCCCAAATGTGCCACAAATACGAAGGCAAGTGCGGACCCGGCAGGAGCCAACTCCCTCGCCTGATAAGTAAATGAATGTTGCATACTTTGGGGCGCGGGCGCAGTTTGCCGGATTTTCAATCATCAAGTAAGAGAAAGCCAGCCATGAGGGTGTTATTAATGTTGCGTTATCAGCAGGCCATCCCCCCTACGCCGTAAAATTCATCGTTCTTTCCATGCACTTGGGAAAAAGGATCTACAATTTGTAATGTATTGTCATATTGCATTACTACAGCAATTAATAGTTCCAGATACTCTTTAAAAGGGCGAAAAAATACAGTTCGTATTATATTCTCGTTAATACATTTTTCTAATATATTGCGTAGAATTTTCCATGATTTTTGACAGTGCCTTACCGCAAAATGCACAGCCGGAGCAGCAAGAGCCAACAAGCAACAACCGGCGACCGACAACCAACAGCCAACACGCAGCAGCTGGAGGAGCTGAAAGAGCTGGAGGAGATTCGACCATGAGGATGCAGATTCCCGCTGCTGCTCCATGTTGGCTGCATAAAAACCCAGAAATTAGCATAATTTCAGGCACTCGGGCTGCGATGGCGCAACACTTGCGACCGCAGATAAGGCGCAAAATGAACGCAGCGCGTCTTTTGTGCATGTGTTTGTGGGGGCGAGTGTGTGGCGGTTCGATGTGTGCGTGGGTGTGTAGGTGGGTGGTGTGTGTGTGTGAGGGATCCACATGCACGCGTGTTGGGCGCGCTGTTCATCGCTTGTTATTTGGGGAGCGCTGTGTAAAACTTGCGGCATATGTGGATGCCAGGCAATCAGCTGCGAATTTTAAACTCTATAAATAGAATTCCGTATTCCCCAAAAATATTAAATTAGTGTCTAAACATTTACTCATTTCTCCCGCTGCATGCATGAAATATTTTAGGAACCAATTATTAAAAATCTTGATGAAAAATTAGCGTTATTATAAAAAAAATGTTTTAACTTTCTAAAAATGTATTGACTTTAACTTGATTTGGGGTCTTAGTTTAATTTAAACATAATTCTGCGCATTATTCAAATTAAAATGCATTTTAAAAAACCAAAAATAATTGTACTGAACCAAATGAAAAATTCTGAAAGGTGAAATAAAAAAATTTAACACGAAGGGCATTTAAACTTCGTTTTGGTAACCCTTTTTTGGCCTGAAAGTTCCCCACTGCTCTGCAAACAAACCCATTGTACTGGTGCATACACAACGGCATACGATTTCCATAAATGCACAACAACGGCGAATTGCGTGGCAGAAGATCTTGGACAAGAAAAGTAACCTGCGGCAAAGAGAGATTTTCCGAAGAGGGTTTTCCAGTGGGACAGGTGATGGGGCAACTACGTATACATGAATCTCTCGTTGGCGAGGGAGTTCACCGTCTAGATTGAAAAATTTCGATTGCAAAAAGTTTTTATTATCGATCGCGGTTACACCCCAAATAACCAAAAGCTAGTGCATATGCAACATTTCGTTGAATGCCAGTCTCAAGGCCTCTGTCAGACCCAATTCGTACAACGCGTCGCGAATGAACTTTAGGTTTAGCTCGCATTTCAGGGAGAATGATTTTGGACTTAGATGATGGCGCTGTCGCAGTCCCAGATACTGCTGGAAATATAGTTGAGCCCGATCCCAGTGGTGACGTTCCGAGAAGAATCTGCGCTGCTGGATATCCACATCTTCTGCCTCCTCATAGTTCTCATTGGGTAATCCAGCCCAGTTTCCAAATATCGGCCGATGGGAATGCAGTCGCAGTGGCCTGCTCATGCTGAAATCCAAATCGAAGAGGTAGCCAAATCCGGACGCAGGTCCTCCGAAGGTGCTCCTTAACCGGCTGCAGAAGGCCAGGCTCCGTTGCAGACTGATCTTGCGAAGAAGGTAGTTGCGGCGGGGACTTTGAACTGCCGCCGTTAGCATCCGCTGGTTGCGTGGCGGATGTGGGCGGTTGTGGCGGATTATTTGCACATGCGGGCCATCGCCAATCAGCGTACTTTCCACCACGCGGGAGGAACTCTGCCTGCTCCAGATCCTCGACCTGGTGGTCGCGGACATATCTGATGGCCAGATTGGTGGGCCTTGCAATGCTTTTAAAAACAAATAATTTTGCGAGGGGCCGATTCGATTGTCCACTTACGGCCAACTGGGTTTAGACAACGAACTTACACATTTTGGAAATAATTTACTTATACAGGGAAGGCATTTCATATTTCAATACCAATTACGAGTTAAATGATAGACATATCAATTTCCACATTTGAAAGATACTTCTGCATTTTTAACGCACACTAGTATTAGCAATTTTCAACTTGAAGAAGATTAAGAACTTGATGGATTAATTTTATAAGTTATGCAAATTATATAATTATTATAAGAAAAAATGTCAAATGCACCTACTTCTTCTTAACTGAATATGTGGTTCTACCTATAAGTGCCGCTTAGGACTACTGAAATCGCCTTTTGAACGATATTTTTATCGAAAAACATATCAGTTATAAAATAATCTTTAATTTGTGTTTGAAATTTTTTCGCTTTACAAATATTTATTAAATTGTGATTTTTATTATTTTTTAACTTATAATGAAATATCCCTGGCTAAAACTTTTGGATAAACAATTTATAAAGCTCTTCTTTAAAATACTATGTGATCCTGACATTTAGCCAAAGTATCAACGATTATTTAAAAAAAATTCTTAGTACTGTACAAATACAAGCACGACGATTTTGACTTCTGCGGTGAGTGAGGCGCAATTCCCCGGGTATTGCAATTAACGGCTTCAGCATATGTGTGTTCTAGAATTACTTGTACATATTGAAATACGTATAGCACTGATTAAGCGTTTTAACTGCCATAGCAACAGGCAGCTCTAATTCTGCAGCTGCTCGTCTGCTACTCGAATTGCAGAATGAGCTATCCATTTGATGCCAGAAGCCCCTTTACGGAGTCCCTCCCACATCCGAGAATTCCCCGAACTGCGTCATCGAGTGAGCCACTGTACTCACACACTTGAAGCGGCTGCCTTCATAATTCAGCGTGGAAAGTGGAAAGTCTACTGGCAAAATGAATGATGAAAATCAGTTCCCCAGATATTTCACTGGCACTCTATTGCTTGCATACAATAAACAATTTGCCTTCTGATTTCCAGCATGAATTGAGATGTCAGCAGTCTGCACTCGAGCCGAGCTACTATTAATAATTGACTTGGCCCGGCCACACGGGGCGTATGGGTAACAGTGCTGGCAAAATCACTTTGATTGGCCATGGCCCCGCCCCTTAGTGCGCCATTTATTCGAAGGCACTTGACACTAATTAAAATCCCCTAGTCGGCTAATTTAAATGCTGCGGAGGGTTTCTTTTATGTTGCAAGTGCATCGCCTCAATTACCTGAGCATGTTGGTATAAATTAACTGCTCTCTTTATCCCCATGGTAATAAAACTCTTGCAAATGGACATGTATGCCTGGCACAGGCTGCAGTGTTAGCCTGGTCTATTGTCGTTAGTCAACTACTACTCTCTTAATCCGTTTCCATTTTCTGAGTTGGTTTGGCATTTGTCGTCAGCAAGATAAGCAGATGGTAACACAAAAAAGCAACAAGGATCGGATTCCAAAGTTAGGGCAGTGGCCATTTATTTCGTTTCGAAAAATTCTTGTATTTTTTCATTCATATATAGAAATTTACAATTAGTATATTTTACAACAGTGGTAATAAAGCAAAGCCAGCTATGTTTCAATTTGTTTTCATTTTTCTGCTTTATTTCTTATTTTGTTGTAGTTAAATCTAAGCTCCAGTCCAAATTTGGTTGCTCGATTTTTTTTTTACATTTTAGGCATCAACGGATCGCATCTAAAAAGGGCAGCATCGCTGAAGACCGTTTCTTTTTTCCATGGGTCCACAGCAAGGACCGCAGGGACCGCAACAGGGTCCCCAGCGTGGTCCACACGGTCCACAACAAGGCTCACAAGGTCCACCACAAGGTCCACAAGGACCACAAGGTCCACAAGGTCCGCAGCAAGGTCCACCCGGTGTACAACCCATGATTTATGTGCAAGTCTACAATAGAAAAAATTAAATATTTTCAATAATGGAATTCGGATAAAGTTACCTTGAAATTGATGATTTCCAAAACTTGGGTCTAGAGTTAAAATTTAGATGTGTTTGTGCTGAGAGAAAAATGAAAACTGGTGTTCCTAACCGCACAACGAGCTTGGGAAAGGAGAAAATATGTACACAGCCATCTAGATGCTTACATTTTTAAAATAAATTTCTTTAAGAACACCTTAATTCAAAAATTGAATTTGCATCGTTTTTATGCCTGATGGAAATTTTATTGTTTTAAGAAATCTTTTCAAGCTACTGGTCAATCTCAATCTTCGAATTGGATTAAAAATAAATGGTTTAAATTTTTTCTTTTTAGAACATATATAACATATATAAACATATATAAACTCATATATAAAGATCCTAACATAGCCCATTAATGGTAGGGAACTGTATAGGTTAATTCCAAGTGGAGATCTGGAATCAAGAAATAATGTTTAATCAAGTTTTTATTTCTTTTTAAAGGGGGCTTTTATTTGTTTGGTTTTCCAATTGGTTTCAGTACCAGGAGTACCATGAATTCGTTTGCCTCTGAGACCTCTGGAAAGTTGACCAATTTCAGCATTTTTCGAACTTTGAGGTCCTTGTGCTAAGAAGCCTTGCGTCGGGGAACTTTTATAAAACTTTGGAGTTCGTAACGAAATTAACAATATAGTATCCATCGAGGTAAGTTTAAAAAGCATTTATTTGGTTGCACAGTGTTAGGACTAGTACTCAACCCAACAAAAAGTCGTGCAACTTGCTCTAAAAGCGGCCGAAATTCTTTAGTTGTGTTGCGCAAAGCTAATTCTATGGCGCTCTCAATATTTACTCCGCAGCGTCAGTCATAATAAAAAATATTGTCCTTTTTATTTGTAGCAGGTGTGTAGTCAGCGAACCACGTCCAAATTTTATGTTTCCTTTTGCCTTTTTATAAGGGTCCCAAATAGTCATTTATAATCATTTACATTACCAGATGAACGAACCAAGATATTTATTTTAACGTTTTTATTACTGCTTCATTGTCTCAATATCTTATTTGTGGCTTTCGATTGTTAGGTGTTGGTGTGTGGAATGGATGTAACATTGGTATTCGGTTCCAGATGTGATGCATTTAGCACCAACAACCTCCACAGCAACTGCCAAATGGTCCGCAACACGGTCCACAAGGTCCACACGGTCCGCAGCAAGATCCGCAGGGTCTACAACGTGGTCCGCAGGGCCCGCAGCATGGTCCACAGGGACCACAGCAAAATCCGCAGGGTCCGCAGCACGATCCACAAGGTCCACAGCACATGATGAATTCGTACAATTCTACAAAAAATATAACTGTATCAGATGGAATTTTATAAAAAAAATGTTTTTTTTTTTACCAAAGTTTTTACGAGCCAAACAAACAACAATTTGAGACAACACCACAAATTTAGTAGTGGTCGGATCGATAGCCGGAATAAGAATGATATGGATTTGGGACCCAATCGCTTACATGGTCTTGACAGGTCAGAAACGATTTCCACAGCCTGCTATGAACATAAAATATAATGTTAAAATTGAAAATATTGAAGTCGTTTTTGCGGAGGGTTTAAGAAGAAATTTAACATTTTATTTCAATAAACCAGTTGGTTATGGCAGAAACATACCAATTATATTTAAATTTCTTAAAACTCATTATTATTAGGGGGTTTTTTTTTTGTATGAAAAATTTCTAAGGTCCTAATTTCTCACCCCCTTATACTTTGCGCATTGGTGCATTTAAGACATACCAAAAGAAAAAGTTTAAAAAAATGCGATTTAGTGCTTGCGCATTGACCTTTAAGTTTATTACTCATACGTACTGTTGCCCTTGATCAAAAATTTTAATTTCATATAGGTGGCGTAGACTTGTCATTACTTATTGAGTCTAAACATAAAGGTAACCTTGTCACCTTTACAAACGGGTAAAGAAAAATTGCTACCAATTTCAGGTCCATTTTTAAAAGGCTAACAGAATCAAAAAATTTTATTTAATTTATCGCCCCCCAAGCCATATGCGTTGGGAATATTTGGATAAAAAGCTATAAACCTATTTTTTAAAGAAGTACATGGGGTAACCTTTAATATAGTATCGTGGCACCGAGGTAAGTTAATAGGCGAAACAGTTTATTAGGTTGACAAATTTATGTTAGCGGTCTTTATTTAAATCAAATGTTTAAATTATAATAGAGAGCTTTAAACGAACTTTGTGTTGCTGCTTTAGTTGTTTTTTCAAGTAGATCTGCCATACTATTTTGGTAGTGCCATATTCGCAATATTGTAATTCGAGCGGCAGGCTTAATAATTTAAATTTTACTTTATTTGTAACAATAATTAAAAACAAACAAAAATTATGTACCGAACCAAGTCACAAATTTATTTATTTTCCTTTTGCCTTGCATTATAGGGTATAAGGTTTTAATTTCAGTCCCAAGTGAAGGAGACATTTCCGACCCTATAAAGTATATATATTACTAGATGAGCGATCACCAGGAGAGTCCATCAAGCCACGTCCGTCTGTCTTTTCTTGTCTAAGCCGTGTTATTCTTTTCTTCACACGAGTTCTCTTCATTTTGGAATGCTTTTAACCATTAGGGATTGGTTCCAGATTGATGCATTTCTTCGTCAAAAAACCGCAAGCGAAGCCGTGGTTCGCAACTGTAAGGTACCATAAATGGTTTAACATGGTTTTTAATGCTACTGAAGACCGCAGTTTGGTCTATTTTTTCAACGTCGTCCGATGAACTGAAAATCTAAATACGGCGATTTCTTAGCAATAGTGCAGGTAGTCCACACTTTTAAATATTCCGTTACGACAAACACACAAATATCTTCCACAGAACTGATGTTTTCGTACGTTGCTAATGTTAAATATACCTTTGAAACATAGGTATTTTCATGGAAAAAATGCTCTGGCCATTACCAACCTTTTACTGGTGAATGCCAAACAAACAACAATTTGAGACAATCACCACAAATTTAGTAGTGGTCGGATCGATAGCCGGAATAAGAATGATTTGGATTTGGGATCAAATATTTGACATGGTCTAGATATGGCAGAAAAGATTTGCCTACCCAAAACTCATACTGGCTTACGTGCCGTATGAGTAATCTTATTGAAACTATTGAAGACGTTTTGCGAAGGGTTTAAGCCAGTAATTTAAAATTTTTTGGATTTTTCTTTAAGCTAGTTGGTTATGCACAAATATCTTGTGTTTAAAGAGGGTGAGATAAAAATTCCTTATAAAAACTCACTAGTGTTCATGTACAATACATCACAATTAAAAGCTATGCTTTGTTATCTGAATAATAATACGAAATTAAGAACACTGTTGTCGGTTTATAGAAATAATGTAGATCCAGGTACAATTTTTAACGCAGCTGCATCACCATTAGTGAAGAAAAAATAAGTACCGGTTGTGTCTTAATATCAGTATGCTTAAACACCAAAAAATCAAGAGCTATTCGGCAAAAATTTCTTTTAAGTGCACATGAATTTTAATCGGATTCAGCGCCAAGCAAAATACTCGGCACACGCAGGTATAAAGTTCGAAGCTCTGCATGTTTCAGAATTATTATCAAAATAAAGCGCTGCCGACAGATTTCACCAAAAGTATGATATTACGTTAACCCCTCTTTAAACCAGTTTAATAGATAGATAGTTTTCGAGCTAATTTTGTTCCCAAGAAATTAGGCAAAAAATATTTGATTTTCAATTCACTCAATTTTTTTATTGACTTGGTTCACGCTTAGAGAGGAGTTTGCTCAGCGTATGGTCTTAAATTACTCTTCGTGGTTCATCAGGACTATATGTTTCGCTGGATTATGGTTGTTCAGCATCCACAATAGGGACCGCAGCAAGGTCTACAAGGACCGCACGGTCCACAGCCTCCGCAGCAGGGACCGCATGGTCCGCAACAAGGTCCACAGGGTCCACAGCATGATCCACATGGTCCGCAGCACGACCCGCACGGTCCGCAGGGTCCACAGGGTCCGCAAGGACCGCCGCACGGGCTACAGGGTCCACAGAATCCAAGGGGTCCACAACACATGATTGGTCTGTAAATTTCTAAGGCAACTCTTTAAAATAACCTTTATCATATTTTCCAAATACTTACTTTAAACCGAACAAATAAATAACTTAAGACAACCAAAAATTTTGATGTTTACAGGCCGAAAGGTTGAACAAGAATGATAGAATTCTTAACCTCACTCTGGGATTTGAGTTTGACAATTGAATAAAATTTTCCACAGCTAACTAGATTTTAGATTCTTGGTTACATTAGATTTTAAACAAAATTATTTTGGTAGATCAAGGTTTCCATGAAATTCCTAGTGACTACTGTCAAAAGTACTTTCTACTGGCTATGGATGATTTACATCAGTTCTCCATTCCATCTCCGACAGTGAGCACCAAAATTTTCGGTGGTTTCAAGATTCTTTTGGATTCCGGTTGTAAAAGTACCCAAAAAAGAAAATCATGTACATGTACGTCAATCCGAATTACGTCTTGGTAGGGGTATGTACTTATATCGGCCATACGGTCCCGAGATCTTGGGACTACCTTTTAATAATTCTTTTTTCAGGGCCCTTGTTGCGGTGGGTGTGGCCCCTGTTGCGGTGGATGTGGTCCTTGTTGTAGCGGGTGTGGCCCCTGCTGCGGTCCTTGCGGAGGATGTGGACCTTGTTGCGGCGGCACCAGCAGTTTTTGCGGTTGCGGTCCTTGCTGCTGAGCCAGTTGACCGGAAAGCCCATGGAAATACTTGAGCCTGCCATGTAAATCTCGAAAATTAAAAAGTGTGGGAGACAACAATTTAGTTTTATTCATTTAAAAAGTTTTGGGGGTTAAGTCTAGAATGTAGAACATAATCTTCAACGTTGTCTGAGACAGTTTTGGGCTTGATTATCTTACTCTATGCAGATGACATTTTTGGTAGCTGACTTTAGAGAACATTTATCCATCATTTGTGTTAGGGCCAGAACCCCTATTAATATAATATTTTATATATATTTCTAGCGTTGCCCACAAAAAAATGGAAAAGTAGCTCAATTTAAGTACTTTATTTGTTTTGAATTTATTCATACTCTAAACATCTGCTTGTTACTTTTAGTTACACTTTTGTGTGGGGCATCGAGTAGATCAGCTTGTTCCAGAAGTTCGGATGACTCCTCTCTAGATAGGTGTTGAATACCATGTAGGCCCTCAGCTCGCTGTCCAGGCTGTCGAAGTTCTTAACATCCGGATAAAGGACGACGATCAGCCGCTTGCACCGATCCTGGGAGGTTGCGTGCAGGGCGAGTCGGAACTCGAGTCGTCCCCAGGTGGACTTTATGAAGTTGTCCGTCATCAGGATTATGATGCGCCGCGAGTCCCTGACGGACCTGCCGATGCAATCGGGAATGGATTCTCCTGCCAACCAGTCGCGCAGGTAGAAGCAGAGTCGGAACCTGGGTCTGCCCATTTCCAACTTCTCCACGAACTCCTCCACCAGCGACTCGTCCTTGTGGGTGAAGGCCAGAAAGGCATCGAACTTCTTCGTCTCATCGAGTTCTCTTCTGGCGGCCAGGCTCAAACAAACGTCGTGCTCGTAGAACCACACCAGCAGCGGCTGTCTGAAGCAAATCATGAAGTTAATAGCTATGATCACGGCTGCTACTGAGATCGCCAGAGCCACGAAATAGGCGAAACCAGAGGGACATATAATGTCCTGATCTATCGAGACAAGTTTCTCCCCATTGCCGCAATTTATTTCAGTAAAATCGGGTATATTAGAGGATATACTTTTCATGAAATTTAGATTTTCCATATCCTCGCAAGAACATGACCAGGGATTGCCGAGCATGAGTAGCTGTAACGGAGAGACTTGTAATCTTTTCTCTAAAAAACTCCGCTTATTTGGTGTCAGTGCTGTAATACTATTGTTCCTCAAGTCTACATAGGTCACCTTGTTGGCCAGATCGGGAATATTCACCAGTCCTTCTCCTCTGCAATCGACTATGAATGACGACCATGTTGTGTTATCCAAGCAGCAGACACAAGCAGCGGGACAATCCATTTGAGATATATTGCAACGATTCAGGGTGAGATTATATTCAAGGGGCTCGTGATCCCTTAGGAAAGATAGCAACGATCTTGACTTGCAGTGGCAATTCCATGGATTCCCTGACAATTTAATTTCAGTGGATTGCTTTAGGTAACGAATCACATTGTCATCAAGGGTCTCAAAACTGTTGTTACGAAGGTCCAGATACGATAGTTTCTTTGGGAGCAGATCGATGGTTACTTGGGATATATTATTTTTGGATAAATGCAGCTCAAGTTGGTTAGAAAAATTCTCCGTTGGCATCATTGAAAAATGTTTAGGAACCATATTTGGAAAGTTATGTAAAAATGTATTCCTGCAGTCGATTTTTATATTTTGGGTAGTGCGGTTTTGACAACATTCGCATTTATAGGGGCAAGGTCCTGGCATGTGATCATAATAAAAAAGCTCATGTTCCTTGTTGACAAACGGCAAATTTTTATGCAACCATTCCATATACTTGTAAACGTTCATGATTTTATACAAGTCGGTTAGTTTATTAGTCATACTTGGTATCAATTGATCTTCATTAATTATAAAGAATTCTTGCTTTCTTTTGCCAAGCCTAAGAAAGTGTTGACCTAAATACTTCAAAAACCCTTCAGGTGAATTGGGAAGCAACCTAATAAATATAGGCCTAACTTCAACTTCTCTCATAATTATTATTCTTTTTAGGTTTTTCAATAAATGCAATAGGGGCTGATCATCGCAATAAACAATCCATTGATTACCTGTCTGTTTAAAAATGGAAACATGTTTTAAATATTGAACTAAATCTCTGTTCATTTCCATTATGTTGTTAAAGCTAATATCAAGATAGTCCAATTTTTCGGGGAGATGGTCGATTCTCAAGCTAGTTAATGTGTTCCTGGAAACATCAAGTTTTTTTAACATGTTATATCCATCTGAAGCGATATTTGGTAAGTGGGCTAGAGTATTATTGGAGAATATTAGCTTTACTCCTCCGATAGTGGGAATGGGTAGTTGCGGAATTTCAAAGAGACCTCTATTGCTGCAGTTTATATTCAGTTCTAAATCATCGTAGATATAACGGCAATCACACATGTCAGGGCATTTAATGCCATTAGTTCCTCGAATAAAATTACACATATTATCTTTGCATATTAAACCCGTAAAGTTCGCATGTGGAATATGATATCTGACTTTAATTAATTTAAGTCTGGGAAAATGGGTAAAGTATTTCAAATCCACTTCGTCGGGAATATCCAGTACCAAATGCTCAAGAGAACTTTGAAGAGTGCTGAAAGAAAAATTAAATGAAATATTATGTCTTAAAATGTTAGGCTGGTAGGGTTGGTAAAATATTTAACAGCACCATAGATGATTTTCAAAGCACCGATGGTTTGGGCCATATACGTATACAAAGTCTACATTTTCAACCATTTTTATACCCGTTACTCGTAGAGTAAAAGGGTACATTAGATTCGTGCAAAAGTATGTAACAGTTAGAAGGAAGCGTTTCCGACATATATTCTTGATCAGGGTCACTAGCCGAGTCGATCTAGCCATGTCCGTCTGTCCGTCTGTATGAACGCTGAGATCTCGGAAACTACAAAAGCTAGAAGGTTGAGATTTTCCACACATATTCTTGGGCCTCCTACGCAGGCGCCGAGCGCCACGCCCCCTCTAACGCCCACAATCGCCCACTAACGATTTTAAAATGTGTCCTGCGCCCACATCTTTAAAGATTTCCGAGAAGTATAAATGCAATTTTGTTGTGTATATTTATACCTATCGAAATGTAGAAGACATTTTTCAAATCGGACCATTCATTAAAAAGTTATACGCAATCAAAATATCTACATATATCTTTCTCCCTCGCACTCTCTTTAGCTCAGCTACGATTATAGTCGGGACACCAACCCGACTATAGCGTTCTCTCTTGTTTTTAGTTGTGTAGTATTAACAATATTCAACTAACCTTAAAAATGACAAATTATTTATTGTACACTTGGACAGCACCAGCTTTTGTAAATTAATCAACGGAGCAAATGTTTTAGTGGTCAAGTTTTCTATCTTAAATCCAGTAAATGATAACGATGTCACATTGGCTTTTTCTTTAAAAATATCGTAGTCAGTAATTAGATCTTGATTTTCAGATTCGTCATTAGCATTAATTATAATTTCATTTATATTATTATTTGTTTGCTTTATATAGACGATTAGTTCAGTCAGGTTAACGGATTGTCGACAATTTAATATTAGAGATTTCGGTCCATTATTGTAATGAACATTTCTTTCTAATACTTCAAACGAGCTTAGTTGTTTTTCAAAGCGAGTGACTTGCTCAACACCGAGTTGTCGAAGGTAATCCACTGCACGTATTCCATGGTTAGTATCTGACACTATTAAATCTTTTAATTTCACGTTTCTTTCTTTGCTGATTGGAATGAGGTCAGTGATTTTAGGATCGGGAGTGCTCCATTTAACTTCTAAATATCCGTCGTTCAGAATCAAATGATAATCGTTAGTAAGAACATAATTAAGATCTTCGTTGTCGCAGGTATGTTCACTGATAGTGTCTTTGCAGCTTCCCTTACAAAATCTTTCACAATAGTCTTCTGGAATGATTTCCAAAAGTTTGCTCCGTTTAGATTGGCATAAAAAAATATTTAGATATATTAAAATTAAAACAAATATAATCCGGTATGCACCCATTTTCCAATGCAAGTGCAACGAGAGTAAAATTTAAACAGCGACTGCCAACATCGGACGAATGAGCTTTAAAGTATTACATTCAATTAAAAATTTAATGGGTCCCAAAACTTCAATAATTATTTTCAAAAAGCAAGAGAAAAAATAATAATACTCGACTACGAAATACCCTGTGATCACACCTATTTTACGAAGAGAGTTTCAAAAACAGTCAATTATGTCTGTACGTGTTTATTGTGATTAAATATGAAAAGCAAGCATAAAAAATGTTTTGTAATGATTTAAAAATCAAAATATCTCGAGTAAAAACGTTTGTTATTCAAGAGCGTTAAGTAGCAAGCATTCCATAAATAAATTATTTCTTCGTATACAGTGTAATCGACCTTTTACTGATAAGAATGTTATTCATAAAAACCAAGTCGTTATGCTTAAGTCTTGGCGAGTTCTGGGGAGTACTGATAAATAAAAACGCATTAAATCATTTATGAACTTTAGTGTAATGTCTTGGGAAACTCAAGATTGGTGCGGACTCCAATGCCTCATACATAGGCTGATTAAACTACCTGATCAGTGCTGCCATTTTGTCCTCTTTCCGGACAGATCTGTCCTTTTTTTAACGGCTTTATCCGGAAAAAATTTCAAACATCCCCTATCGGGAAATCTGTCCTTATTTCAAAAATAAGGTTTTGAGTGTTATTTTTGCTAGTCGAAAGTGTATAAACCTGTTTTTATATGCTAAAACGACTTTTTAACCATTGTTCACGCCAAAAGGGCGTTTAATTTCGGCAGGCAGTGTTGAGCGGCAGTTTTCTCCAGATCTCCACATCTCGCTCGCTCGCACTGCCCTTCGCTCTCCCTCTCCAACTCTCCCCCAAGTCTCCGCTCCACTCTGGAGCCACTAAGCTTAGATTATTGTAATTAGTTCCAATTTACAAGTGTAATAATAAACAGCCGCACGTCGCGCAATACCCCGAAAAGTTCTCCCGTGTTTTCGAAACTTATTTCTGCGCGGATCCATTTCCCTGGGACTCATCATCGCTCCTACAATCAAGCCACCCCCGCCCCAACATTTGATCCATCGACCGGATATTTCCGACCAGCGTTCAGCAGCAGCTACGGTGGCTTGACCCGCTTCAGATAAGTGCTTGCCGATTCTTATTATTTGCCGGTCATACAGCAAGTTGTTCGAACCCCATTTCGTTCAACTTGTTGTATGATTTCTTGTCTAAATCCAAAAGAGATTAAATCCGACGCAACGGCATTTAATATATATATATTCCAATATATACTCCAATTCCTTTTGTTTGTGAGCAGCAATTTTTCCGTTCCCGAAATTTCGTACACTCGAAATTATTACATTGCCGTTCACACATTTCCAAATCCTTAGTGCCAAAGATTTTTCCAATATTGTGCACACACAAAACAAATAATTAACAGTTCCAGTTCCACACGACCGTTTTTATATATTTTTTAAAAAACAAAAATATTTTCCAAGTGTGTGTAAAAATATATAATACAGCCACAGTGAACATTTCAAATTCAAAGTGATCCGCCGAAATTGGCAGCTTTCGTTTTTTTTGTACTGTGTTTCCTGCTGCGTGCATATATTTTTACATATGTTAATATTTCAAAATACAGTCCACTCCGACTACTATTCAAATACAGTCCACTTCAACTACAATTTCGAATACGGTCCACATCAACATAGTTTTTTTCTACGATCAATCCCAAATTATTTCCAAGTCCAAATACAAAGCTTAAATTTCTATAAATTTACACCGGCAATTACATTGTGCAGCAGACAAAAATATACATACATATATACATAAGTCGCAAAAACTCCCGCAATCGGTGCCCTTTCTCTATTCAGCTGTTCTCTGCAGACATACATACATACGTACTCGAAGTCTCCACAATTCCCGCAATCGGTGCCCATCCGCTATCCATCTGGTTCGTTACATACGTACATACATACACGAACTCTTACATATTCCGAAACGCACCGTGGTTCCAGGGTACCCAAAAAATAACGAATATTATTCGTTCAAAATATACTAGAGAAAAACAACCATATTAATTACGAAATAACTTCTACTAAAACTAGTACATAAATATTCGATCCGATTCCATTCGTACAGTGTGACCGTACTTTCGTGAAAACTATAATTATTTATTTAATTAATATTTATTTTTTATCTTAGTCCAAATCATTCAAAAATTCCACGACAAATTCTAAAGTGGCCGTATATCCTTGCGACTATCGATTGGTTCCTAAAACTCCAATTCGCATCTGAAAAATTATAAATTTTTTTTTTTTTTAAATAATTTTTTGTGTGATCAATTTAAATTTTACTTTTTATTCGTAATGGCAACCGCAGCTTTAAACAAATTTATTGCTACAGCTGACACTCTCAGTCATTTTGAAGCCACATTAAATGTTCCCGGTGCATCCACACCAACCTTATCCGCCTGCAAAATCCGTAGGGAGCACGTCAGCTCCTTATGGCAAAAGGTAAAGGAGGCATACGACACATGCTCCGAATGCATTGTGGCTGCAGGCGAGAGCGCCGCAGACGCCAAATCCATTCTTAAAGCGAAATACAACGAAACGTACGATGTATACGAAAAGTTCGCCGCTCAGATTCTCGAGCAAATCGAAATCCAACAGGGCTCCTCCCAAGTATCTCAAGCTCCAGTAACTCCGTCCCAAAGTTCAAGATCTTATGGCTGTCGACTCCCTCCTATCGATACAGAGGTTTTCTCGGGCGATTATCTTCGCTGGCCGACTTTCCGGGACCTTTTCAAGGCGATATATATAGACAATCCTAGTCTCACTTCCGTTGAAAAGTTATTTCATTTAAATTCAAAAACTAGTGGCGAAGCTCATTCCATAGTTTCCAGATCCCCACTCACCAATGAAGGCTTTCGCTCAGCTTGGACAAATCTCACTGAGCGTTTCGAAAATAAGCGATTGCAGGTTAACAGCCACCTTAAATCCTTTTACAATGTGAAGTCCATAGCACAAGAGTCTGGAGCAGCCTTAAAGGAACTTCAACACACCATTCAAGGTTGCTTAACGTCCTTACAAATTTCCGGTATTAACATTGAGAGTTGGGACCCTATCCTCGTTTACATGTGCTCCACAAAGCTTACAAAGCTCACGCTCTCATTATGGGAGCAATCCATCCAAAATAAAGCCGAAATTCCCACTTGGCTCGAGCTTAATTCCTTCTTAACTAACCGCCATCGAACTCTAGAGGCCGTCGATAGCATCCGGCCTGCTAATTTACTTCAAGTCCAGTCCAAAGCCACAAATGCATCGGCAGAACTTCCAAAAATAAATTCATTTTCCACGAGGGCACTTCCAACACCCAAAGGCTGCGATCTGTGTTTAAAGGAAAAACACCCCATTCGTATATGTCCACGCTTTCTCCAAATGCGGTTAAATTATCGTTCAGCCTACATCCAAGATAAACAGCTATGCTCCAACTGCTTTGCAAGCAGCCATAAATTGCAGGATTTCACAAGCCCTAACACTTGTTTCACTTGCGAAAGTCGGCATCATACGCTGTTGCATCCAATCAACAATTTTACAATGACTTCGATTCCATCCAAACCTCCAGGGCCAGTATCGGCCTCAATCCCATACAGAATTTCGTCCTTCTCAGCGCGTGTTTCCAACGCGTGTGGGACTAATAGAATTTCCGATCCGGACCCGATTATAAGGGTCCTTCCTACAAAGAATTCCGACTATTGGGTTCCATATCCCGCCTTGGATGGCAGACGTTCCCGAGGTATTAAATCCTACCAATGCCGAGTCTGCCAAAAGATCCATCCGCTACGGAAATGCCACCGCTTTCTGCGGCTTAGTGCCGAGAAACGGCTCCAGAAAGTACGTATCCACAGGTACTGTTCCAATTGCTTGGCCCACGATCATTCCGAGGACTCCTGCCGCAGTGATGACCACTGCCACAAGTGTGGAAAGGGCCACCACACTCTACTACATAAGGAAGACCGATCTTCGCTTCAATCATGTTCCTGAGTCTACTCTACTGAGGGTCTTGCTACGGTGGTCCTCGCAAGGGGGGGGAGAATGTTCACGCCAAAAGGGCGTTTAATTTCGGCAGGCAGTGTCGAGCGGCAGTTTTCTCCAGATCTCCACATCTCGCTCGCTCGCACTGCCCTTCGCTCTCCCTCTCCAACTCTCCCCCAAGTCTCCGCTCCACTCTGGAGCCACTAAGCTTAGATTATTGTAATTAGTTCCTTTTTACAAGTGTAATAATAAACAGCCGCACGTCGCGCAATACCCCGAAAGTTCTCCCGTGTTTTCGAAACTTATTTCTGCGCGGATCCATTTCCCTGGGACTCATCATCGCTCCTACAATCAAGCCACCCCCGCCCCAACAACCATCATTCTTACAGTTTGGTACTTATAAACTAATTCTTTTTACAAATTATCAAAGAGACGTAAAGCTGTCGATGGATTTTCTTTATAGTATAATTTTTTCTGTAGCAAAAAAAAGAGGAAAACACTTTAAAAATTTCTCAATTTTTACTCTCTGTTTTTTGTCAGAAAAAAATTCAGATTTGAACGACTCTTATTCGGGTTTGACGTAGATATTGAATATTTTTTGTATTACCAATATAGTTAATTAGAATGCTTTAATTATTTTAATAATTTTAGATTATTACGTATACGCACAAAAATTTACCATGGTAAAATGATCAAACAAAGAAGGTTGTGAGTCGGGCGCAGTATATCACTACATAATTGAATTTAATATAAAATTTAAACTAAGTAAATATGTAACCCATTGGTAAAACAGAAAAATGGATGCGCATTTACTTTTCTCCTTTTTATACCCTTGCAGAGGGTATTATGATTTCAGTCAGAAGTTTGCAACGCAGTGAAGGAGACGTTTCCGACCC